ATCCGAGTAGTTGAGATATTGTATGTGGTAACATGTATATAATGACAAATGCTTCGGCGGGTGTGATGATCACAATCAGTTCACACGTTAGTGTAATAGGAGGTTGAATGTTCTAATTAAACTTGGCATGTTGACTTTAATTAACTTTACAACCCCTACTTACAACAATATAGCTGTGCCATACGAGTCTCGAAGACTATTTAACAAGAAAGAATGTTTTACTAAAAGAGCGTTGTCTAACCATTATATTTTTTGTGCTCAAGAAACAAGTTCTTTTTCGCAGTTTTAGTTTTTTAAACTTTTTTATTTGCCAAGCACCAAATCAGTACAAACCCCAAATGGTATTAGGTGCACAATATTGGAACTAAAGTCACTCGCCAACTATTTAAGCTATTCCGCTGGATTCAATGAAATTGGGCACCAACCAGTATGCTGAGTATCAGCGAGAGACTAAATGGTCATCCCACGTAATATATAGTTAACAAATTGACATCCTTAATTGCATACTTATTATCTACAAAACTATGTTTCTCTTGATCTATCCACTGAAAATTAATCTCAGTTACGCTAGTGGTATAGCAAACGACAAGATCCAAAATAAGGCGTAATCATATTCGCTACTAGTATAGAAAGCACGAATCTTAAAGAATTCAATGGAAAATGAAGATTAGAATGAACTTGACACTATTTAATAACAAATATAAGACTATACGTCTCACTAAAATATTGTGTTATTTCTTGATGAAAGAGATTTAGTGTCTATCCGCCCTCAAATCAAATGTTGACTGACTTGACGACTAATTCAGTACGTCATCAGGTTGCAACATTCTTACCTATTTCATTTTGTGTTCAAAATAAATCGTACAAAGTCTTGTAATATCAATGCAAATTTAAATCTTAAATAAGTGTCATCTGTAATAATTTTACGGGTCTGTGCATTTGGGAGAAGACAATCTAACAGTATGCAGATACACAACAATCTAACCATAGCTAGTACGACTCTCAAACTAAAACATCTTACAACTAAAAGGTTACCTTAAAACCATAGTCTAATGCGATTCTTATAGAAACATCTTGGGATTCAAAATTCAATCTTTCTCAACTCAAACTCGACTCCTGATTCAGCATAAATGTAACTCGTTTCACTTTAAACAAAAGCCTTTTTCCAAAGGCAAATTTGTACAGAAATTGTTTCCATGATCAATACAATTCTTGTATTCTAGATAAAGCAAATTATCTGCGAAACCTGATTTTCGCGAGAGACATTTATACAATTTTCGAAACTTCTTTTGGAATACTGCAAATAAATGGTTTATAACAAGATCCCTTAACTTCGCCCGATTCTATCGGACTGTGATAATGAGTCATATGCAGTATCAGAACACATTGACCACTTCTTATTACCACTAGCTATTTTGTCAATAGATTATAAAAGATAGCTTGTCAGGTAAGGTAAAATACGCCCATTGGCATTATAGTAACTATCACCAGTATGAAATATTCAACCTTCAGTCATACACTTCTGATACTGAATAATATTACCAGGTTTCATCTGGTAGGAATCGTGCCTTTTATTGTTTACGAGCTAAAAATTGAAAGCGTGATCAAGGACAAGGGCAATGATTTAATATATTTCGATTCTTCTGATTTTCAATAGGGTTTAACCTTCGGGTGATAACAAAGACTCACACCAAGTTTCGTGAAAATTCGTCAAGTGCTTACGAGCAATTGCGGATGAGCCGAAAGATGACATGGGTGTCGCCAAAATACGCCCCCAATTCATGTAGGCATTTAAAAAAACCTCCAGTTTTGTCTAAAGCTATCCTTATGTACATCGATGTGTCGTTACATGCATATTGATATCCATGTATATTAATATCCATATTACCTGTGTCTTAATGGCAGTCTGTAAAACATTTGATTCAGATAGGAACCAAGATATGATCCATCCGACAACACAATTCTACATATCTTACTGAACTGAGAATGAGCGTCGGTAATCTAAACAATTTTTTAAAAACATTTTCCACATTATCGGAGATAGCAGCCAAGAACTGACTTTATAACACAACAGCAGGTTCATAAATGGCGTTTGGACAACGATAATGAAGTCGTAACACAGACTAAAAACAATGCGAGAATATGCTCATTATGTAGGCTATGTAATCTACATGAAACCCTTCAAGTTGGTCACTCAGTCAAAATAAGGTCGAGCGCTTGACACCAAAACTGTCCCAAATAACATAACTTTGATTAAAAGTTTTAATTTATTGATCACATGAAAGCTGTTTGCCGCGACCGTTGTTGTTACGCGAATGGACACTTTACAGAAAGCAAAAAGAGGCTAACATTGAAATGAATACAATGACTTCCAAGCGATCCGTTTGTTGATATTCGTTGCTGGAATTGCGAATGCTTGGGAAATGTTAAATCCAGCAACTCGTGGCATAATATCATATCACATATGCACTTGTTATACTATAGATCCCATATTTATCCCCGCTTAATGTTTGTGAAGTAGATGCAAAATACGACCTTTCAAATCAGAAAGAAGCGCATGTAAGTGCGAATATAAGAAATTTTTCGAAAAACCGGAATTTACATTACATCTTATTAGCAAATTAAAACCTATTAATTCATACTGAATTAATCTCGCGCCAATTTTTAAAGTATTATATAAAGATTGAGAAAGGCTTGGTAGGCTCTATTGTGTATGCTGCCATTTCAATGATGCACCTTATCATTAGTATTCTTTACACCTACATACTGACCTTGATCTTTTCACACCGGATATCACTTTATTTGTTTTGTGGTGCGGTCACAAGATGCCTTTGACACTGTTTTCCGTTACAGTATGTGTGTTTTCACAAGCTAAAATCCTTTCATGTTATAATCGTTTAATATCAATTTACATTCAATTTTCGTTTATATAACCATTGCCCAATATGGTGGTAGGTGAGCTTTACCATTTTTTTCCGAAAATACCAAATGTTCAGTAGGTGTTTTTATACTGACGTCACGATGCACGTTTTATGGAGACAAAAGTATTTCTCCCCATTAAACAGGCCAAGAGTTGACAAACACTTGAAATTGGAAGATCTCTTATCTCGGGTAGTTAGGATTTGTCGAAAACATTTCTCTGCTAATCTCTTTCATTGTCACGGACCATCTTAGTGGTGTTAAATGTAACAATACGCGTTGCTTCGCCTGTATAACGACACATATGTGTCCATATCGTTCTGATTTTCTTTTTAAATCATGAGATTTCGAGAGATTTCGTTGTCATTTCTCTTGGCAAAATCTTTTCTATGACCTCAATTCGGTTTTGGAAAGGAAGGGTTTGACATCGTATTTGAATCTGTTGACTTTCCTGGATTTGATATCTGATCTGTAAGCCGATCAAAGAATGCGGAGAGTATTGTATTTTGAGGTATTTCTTTCATTAAATCAAATAAATTCTACTTTCATTCTCACACATTGTATGCTTTTGTATTGGGTTCATTTTTACCGAATAATGAACGGAAAAAGTGAGTTTGTGATAGGAAGGGGAATGCAATGCATCTTTTTAATAGCAGTAAGGTGCACTCCTTACGCTTGTAGGCATACACGCATCAAGTCTGCCCTGAGTTGCTGTCTTCATAATGTGGGTTTTATTTTTTTGGTTATAGTACACTCTTGTCGGTTCGCAAATCTTGCTTTAAAGCCTTGAACTTTAATATCAATATCCTAGAGAAGGTAAGGTGAAATGTGCTCTTGAAGATGAGCTGATACCCCTTCATCGAAAAACGCTTTCGTATGCAGTTTAGTTGTATCCTCTATGATGTATGACTGACGTTTTGGATGGGTGATGATTATTGAGGATTTCAGAGAATTCACAAAATTGGTCATGAATGAAGAAGCTGATGAAACAGTATACGATGTAAAACCTCATATACATCATATACCAATATGCAATACTATCAATAACATCATGTGGATTAAAACACTGATATAGATAATTCGTTATGATTTTTTTTACCATACGAAATACTTCTTTAATTCGTGTTCTGTCAAATTTTTCCCAAAATCGTCATTCCTTGTCACATGCAAACAATACCAACATTGATCAAATTGGACTGAAGAGTGGACAGTGTTGTTCTTAACGATGAATATATCTTCAATCTTTAATCTAAAAGTGTATTAGGAACTCGTCATATATATCATTTTTATTTTAAATATTAGAATAATTTACCTATAATTCATTCCAGCTATCCATAAATATTTCAGAATGTAAATCTGACGTATTAATTTAAATAAATTGTAGTCATTTTCAGAGCGTTTATCGTGTTCATTTGTATACAATGACGTGAGAAAGACACTAACTCGTTATACCAGTCTAAAAGACAGGAGCCTTGGAGCTGGGGGTCTGTGGCTGGTAAGAGACTCCTAGGCGCCAACGGATTTGAGATGGCCGGAGTTGAATTTTTAGCTTCGGAATAAGGCTTTTCACTGGCATAATGGCCAACCCTTCGTGTTTGCGTGGTACGCTTCTCTGAATTACGGGGACACCGAAAGTCCGAATATCTGAAATCGAGATCTATCGACTATGAATTAATTTTTGAATATTTTTGGTTTTTAAGAGTTCTATTGTTTTTTGCTTCTCACTTTGACATAAGAGTCAAAATAGTAGAAAAATACAATATAATTTTAATCTAGTTCTATGTTCACCCGTGAATAATGTTTCATAACCTAGGCACTTGATATCATCTGTTATGCGTGCATTATTCAAAAATATGTCAATGATAATACATCGTGTGTAGAGTGGTTGAAGATTTGAAATGGAGTAGGATGGGTATTAGAAGACAGTCGGCGGTTTTGATTTAGCAAATATACTCAAAGTAAATAAGTGTAAATTGAATTTTAGTCTGATTGGCCAGTTGGATGGGAGAAGATGTTGACTTGCCACTTCAGTTGAGTATAAATTACTGCCTTCTCCAAAAGTATCATTCTCCATGTTTTAATTGCGCTGTAGAATCATACAAAAACATCATGAAGTCGTTGTTAGTTGTTTTATTAGCAGCTTTAGCTGTTTATCAATGCTCTGGTATGGAAATGACATTAAGAACTAAGAAATATGCCGAACACTTACCACCAACAAATTACACAGGTCAGTTGTTTTTCTCATTGTTTTAAATAATTCACCGTGGTGTCTCGCATCTGAGTCTTCGAATAAAATATTAATCAAAGTTACCGCTATCTTAGTGATAACGTAAAATTTTATGGTGCACTGACACTTTCTTTTTCTAAAACCGGACTTCTGATGTCGGTATGGGGATGGGTTTCTAACAACTCTATAAAATATTTCCCCTGTCCCGTCACTGTAAAAAACCGCCATATTGAATATCAGTCTCTTGCCAGCCAACTTCCAATAACTGAGCAATTATTATATTCCATTCATGGCTTTTACAAATTTTCGTTTTATACGCCACATTGAAATGCCTGCCTATCGGTCCCTCAACATTTCTTGTGAACGCAATAAAGACTACAGTTTTCAACTGATTTTAATGAAATTTGTTGTGATCATTTATATTGATTAGATCCTGGTCAAGTTCGAATCTTTCGAATTATTGCCCTTGACTTATGAAAAAAGCGTCAAAATTTGTCTGTGAACACATGCATGTTCACTTGATTAGTTCCTAATAATTTCAATACCATGATTATAGAACAGTTAAATCTGTCAATGGAATAAAATTTTCTTCAGATCTTTCTCTTTGTTTTTAGAAAAGTTCAAACGCTGGTAATAAATAATATTTTTGTCTTTATTCCTATAATCTAGTACGAGTTCTTGCAATGTTTTTTTTTTAATGTTGTCAAAGTTGCCTGCCATCTTGAATCTCATACAAATAGTATCAAAGCGCTGTGTGCCACGGATTGGTCGATTTTGATAAGTGCTTTGGCAAATCGCTCAAATAAATGTGTATTGTAGGCAAATCGTTGTAGACGCTTCGCTTATATAAATGCACACTTTGGTTTGTGTCGAAAGAATTTGCTTAATAAAGACGCCTAAGAACTATAATAAGACATCTGTCATATTTGTATTTTTAGTACTTTGAGATTTATTTAATAATTCCGCCCTATCATATTTATCATATCAAGATTTACATTTACAATGTAATTATTTAGGCTAATTTCACTTGATCTTGTAATCAAGATGATGTGCATACTAAGAGGATATATTCATCATATGACATGGTGTGATAACTAGAAAACAGAATCCATGTATAAAATTACCTGTAGGTATATCACACCATTTAAGTCCACGGATAAAAAAAACTCATTTTTGGTCAAGTTTAAAAGTTTGATTATCATCTTAGAGGTGGTATTCATTCAGGTTTGTGAAGTAACATTTCATAACAATATAACCAGTTTAGCAAAAATTAAAACATAATCCAATAGAAGATTGGAGAGCGACCGTCAGAAGCACCCAACGTAATGCCCCAACTCACTGCATTGGGGAAAAAGGCCGTCTTCCAAAGAATTGACAGTCACGTCTGTCAAAAATGCAGCTGCTGATCAATCTGATTTATATCTAGATGGTGCATTTTTTGTGGCTTACTACACATGGCATATCCTCTTTTCTGCAAAATTGTGATCCACGAGTAACGGCACGATCTAATTGCAAGAATTCTTACATTATAAAGAATTTAAAACTTTGAACCATTTATTAAATTCTCTGGTCTTTTGTTTTAATTTTTTAAATTGCCACCAGTTCCTGCACGAATTAGTAAATCTGATGTGATATGTTTACATTTCAGAATTATGTGAACTGTGTGGGTTTACCCGAACTCCACATAAATATAACTGTCACCTGAGTGTGGTCTGCGATTGGGCAGGTAAAGAAGTTCACATACAACCATGCGTAGATGAAAAACAGATGTGGGGAGCAGGTTGCTCTTTCTGTACCAACTATAGAGGAGCACCTTATACCACACTTTGTAAATTTGACGAATGTAAGTACACTTAGAGCCAGGATTGAGCGCTAAACTTAATTAGATTCCGCTTTTCTACTGTGTTTTGTCGTTTTCGACATTTTTTTTTACAATTTGTCATCGTAGCATTTGGAAGCCACGAGATATTTTTTCCCATGCATCCCATGTCATCTTCATATCTCTTCACCATGAATGTCGTGTCTTAATAACGAATATCTGTGGACGTTATTTCCACGTCCAAGTGTGTCTGGATAAAGAACGGTTGTCTACCTGTTCGCCAAATAATTAATCTACGTTTTAACAGTCTATTTTACCTTACGTTATTACAGTGAACAACCCCTGTTATGGAAATGACAAGCGACCGGTTCCAGATGGATTAACATGCAATGGCTTTCACCAATGTTCTGCAAATGGCAACCACATTGAACATGCAACTTGTGCTGATGGCCAGAAGTTTGATTTTGAACAGAGAGCTTGTGTTGCAGACATCGAAGGACTCTGTAGTGGAACAGTTACTGCTAAACCAAGACGAAAGCAATGTAAGAAAAATTCTGTAGACATGATTTGAATTGTTTAGTCTTATTCAATTGTAAGTACGTAGTCTAAAAGAGATTATACTAAGTGACGTCAAATGGAATATTCAATCTTGAGCGACTTCATTAATTGAATTTATCTATTCCTTACAGATAATGCTACCTGTGATGAAGTTCCCGGCGATATCCACAGTCAATCAATAACAGAGTTTTATGAAGATACCATGGAATACCGTACAACTAATGTCTCATGCCCAGCTTCCATGGTATTTGATAAAAGTTTAATAGGGACACCGTTTTGTTGCAATGAAATGGATAAAGTAGAATACAGTATGTATTTTTGTGAAATGTTTGCCACTTTCTATAACAATATGAATATGGGGTCAATAACAAGTGTATTAGTTTTAAGAAAATGGTCCAAATGTATATGCCTGGAATTTTGAAAAAGTGATGTCCCCGACTTACTGGGATGCTTTATTCCATAATATTCGTTGGTTTCGTTGAATATGAAATATTTACTGTTGACTCTTCGCTGTGAATTAGGTTCTAATGTTCATTGTTTACTTGGTGGAATTTATGTCCCAATGCTTGCGCGATTCGAGTTCTGTGGAATGGGTCAATGTCTATATCTGCATTATAGTGAAAAGTTATATCGGTCATGTTCTATTCAGTGACCAATTCCAGTGCACTTCTTGGCTTAGCGCAGATTCGTAATTCAGAATAACTCACAAATGGACCTACTTTCCTTTGATTTTCAGCGTATGTCAGAGTTTTGGATTAATCCGAAACATCTGCCCCTATTCTAGCCACTGATAGATATTTTGACATATATCAGCTAGAGTAGACCAACTTTCAAAATAGATATCAAAGGCTGGAATAGAGGAAGATGTTTTGGTCTATGTTTTGTATTTGACTGCAGTGCGCTGTGTAATACGATATCACGATTCTTTACTTTGCACAATCGATATGTCCTGGAATAATCAGGAAAAGGTCTGTTTTCATAGACATTTTAGGGTTTAGTAAAATGTGATTAAGATTATAATATTTACAAAATATTTCCAGCTGAATGTGAACCCAACAATTTAGTTCGAGCCTCTTCTAGAGATGAGCCCAGCTCATGGAAACAATCTCTATCTGGACATTTGACCCCATTCAGTAAAATTGAAGGTGACGCCATGATAGTCAACGATCCATCAAACCCATTCAATGGTTGGGCCTATTTTGATGGATCCACCTCATTTGATGCCAAGAAGATGTCGAACAACGAATTGAGATTCTTTTGGAATATGACCTTCGACGTAAGTGAATCAGAAGTCAAAACATTGGAAAATTTAGCTTCCCTTTTATCTCATCCCATCTTTGCAAGTCGAAAAAGTATACAAAATATTATATTATATTAGAAGAAATAGAACCCCATCTTTCACAACCTCGGACTTGAGGAGGGAATTGAATGACTTCTTAATCCAATTTATTAATTGTTGGAGCCGGATAAGGTAGGCGAGTTTGTCTACTCTGTTACCCTTCCAGACAGTTCACAAAACTGTACATTGTAATTTTAGCTGGGACATATCTTATAAAGAAACGAAATGTACAATTTCAGTTCCAATGTGGTAATATGGATGCATCCGGCAGAGTTAATGTTGGAATGCAGAGAAATGGTGTCAATGGTAATCCTAACCCACGGGTAGCTTTAATTGATAATAGTGCTTGTGATATCTACGCCACTTATGGTTGTCATCTTATTTTGGATTCTTTAAGCAGTGGTGCTGTCGAATGTTTCGCCAATAACCACACTGTTAGCACACAGAATTTAGTAAGTATTTTACATTACTTTTTGACCTTAAATGTGCTCACTAAATTGAAATGAAATGAAGTTTTGATCCTACGCTAAAGTGATATCTATCTGGAAATATCAAACTTCCATATCTTCTGCAAATACACAAAATGAGCTTCATAAGTTGAAACATTTTTTATTAGCAGTATTCTGTATCAAAAAGTGCAATTTATTAACGTCTTTAATTGTAAAAACTTCAATGTTGCCACCGTTTTCAACTATAAGGCCTTTTCCATGACAAAAAAATAATTATTGTTCTTCGTTTTTGAGGACAGCTGATCCTCTGGACTGCATTCGAGAGATCGAATACTCCAAATTTCTAATGCGGAAACCGTTTTGTCTAGAATAAAAGCCGTAAATTGCGGACTCAAGTTTTTTTTGTCAATTGCTAGTGGAATGACAATGATAACTCTCCGCATTAATATCTTTCCCAAAGAATATTAAAACTGCTGGTATTTCAACGTCCAACCTGTAGCTGTATTCTGGTTCAATGATGTCTTGTAAATGAAATCAAAATAAAATGGTCTTAGTTTCGGATTTTCAAAACTAATCCCGAAAAATGTTTTCACTATCGACAGGATAATTATATAGGCAACATTTCTTAAAATAATGTAATAAATTGCATCAATTTCACAAATTCTAATGCCAACTGTTCATAATTTGCAGGATTTAAATATCCAATACTCTGTTGATTTCAAACGAGTTGGAAGTGAAGGAATAATGGAAGTTAAGCCAGCAAATGGTGCTGTTATCAGACGACAATTTGTATTCAATGATGGTATGTAAAAGAATGGATGAAAACAACGGACCGAAAAAACCTACGATTACATGTGTACGCAGACTCAAACGCAAACTCAATAAAAAACGGATCAGAGCAAATGCTATCCAAATACAAACTCAACACCTCCGTAAGCGCAACGGATGGCTCAGTAAGCGATTTTTTGCGACTGCGAGAAGAGAATTACCTGTATGACATCATTACTTGCATTTCTCCTTTGTACGTTAATGGTTCTGCGGAATCATCGTATAAGGATGCATGTAATCACGTTTTGAGTATGAGCTTTAATCTACGATTACATGTGTACATGTACTCAAACAAAATCGGGCCACAGCAAATAATATTCAAAACACAAACATAACATCTCCTCCTTTGTTTCCTAGTCCAATACCACACATATAATATTTTAAGTTTGAGCTCGAAGCTACGGCATTTTCAAAATTCCGTAGTAGGGTAGTAGCTCTGTTGCAATTTTCAAAATCAGTTTAGAAAAGTCTCCTTCTTTTCAAACTGCACAAATTCCAATATGACCATTGGTTTCTAATTGACGCATTGACAGGAGGTGGAAAGGCTAATGTCACTGTCCCTGCAAACTAAATGATGTTACCCTTCCCTTTAGGTCCGATTTCATTTCACATTATTACAAGGTTCTGGAGTAAATGTAAACGAATAGACGGACATGGATGTTAACATACGTTTGAGTGTTTATGTTCAATCTGTTTATATATTGAATTTATATTAGAATAGTGAAGTACATCGATCGATCGATCGAGCGAGAGATATCGAGAGAGATGAAAATTGATGATATTTAAATGTTCTATGTTGTAGATGAGATCATTGAAGGACGAGATTGTGATATGACTATTGGTAAAGGAGTTGGTCAAAGAAACTTTATTGGATTCATTGACAATGTAAGAAAAAAAAATGCGTTCTGCTTAAGCTACCCCCCTTTCGTCCACTTTCTTATTCCTTATCATCCTTCGTAAGGAAAAAATTACCTGCAGTGCCTGCGCCAGCCAACCGAGTACAAATATGAGACAGACTGACGCGATTGGGGACAACTGTCAAAACTTAATTCAAAATGCGGCGCAATCCCTCAGAATTTTCGAAATAAGAAATCGGGTTGGCCTATCCTGACAAACATTTTGGGGCAAAAACGTATAAATATAATATTTTTAAATTTGAGAAGAACATAGTAGGCATGCAAATGCACCCCAACTGTCGCCTCCTTGTATTTTCTGTCGAACCCCACCCCCGCCCCCCTTAACATTTTATGGTCCCCACTCGGACTCTTTACCTAATGCCTCATTGATACGTCACTGGTTGTCATAACTTGTAGCCCTGCTGAATAATATTGTATTGGTTATTTGAATTCTTTACATTTTTAATTTTTTATAATATATATTATCAGTCGTTAAAATTAGCTTTCTTAAAGTTAAAGTTTCAATTATATATATGTTTTTTGCAGGTGATGTTCTATAAAAACTGTGAATACTAAAGGAAAAAAAGCATATTTCAAACACTCGATTGTCTCCAACTTCTACCAAATCGATGTGATCATTTATTTTTTATATTTCTTTTTCATTAATTGGCCAAAATAAACAATTTAATACATTTTTGTGTTTTGAATAATGTATTTTATATGTAATAATGAACTTCGATTAATAACAGATGTTAATTCTCTGTCAAGGCCTTAGATTTGTTATCCAGATGCACAGATATATTCATGTTTTCGGTTGTGACATAGACATAAATACCGACGTTGGATAGACCAGTCATCCAATAAGCAAAACCCATACGTCCAGGCTTACACAAGGGCAACGGGACAGAGAATGCGATAGCCAGAACCTTCACCTATATTACCATCAACAAGTTTATAATCTGCTACTAACAGATAGGTCAGACTCGAGATCGGGAAGCCCGGGAGTGACAACATCGACCAACAACTGCTACTTCTTACCAAATTCACCTAAGAGAAAATGGCGGCAATATTTGAGCTACCATCACCAGATAAGCAGTCTTTTCGCGTCCTAACACGACTTATTTACAAGCCTACCGAACTTCCTTTGAATGACATTGACCCTTCTACGTTGTCAACGTAGTTCGCAAAAGAACGGACCGTAAGTCAGTGACTGGGAGAGTGCTGTTTACAGATGTTGAGGAACAATGGCCGAGTTGCAAGGTTTTCTACCAAACACCAGCCACATATCTCATCTGTCGCGTTTAGTCACATTTAACATAATTTCAGTGTACCAACTCCGATATCCTTTGTCGAAACTGTAGCCTGTCGCGTTCAAAAGCTAATTGTAAAAAGTGCAGACGGGACGAAAAACGAAATGAGACATCAATTACAGAATCGACGTCCATTTTTTTAATAGGAATTATGCATTGAGCGCCAAAGCTCAAAAAATCAGTTGGTTTCACTACAGGATAATATGATATAATAACTGGATAAGTCAGTCTTAAAGTTGAGAATCATGCTTTTTGCATGCTTATGATGATTGTCACCCCCAATACTTCGGAAATGATATGATGATTATTTCGAAATTCTCCATATTTTTTTATTGTTGTTTAAAAATGTTATGAAGCCTTAAGGATTCTTTGTCATCATCGTCTGGCTCTATCAATTTAGGACTCCAAGAAACCCATTATCTTATTATATTCGAGAATCAGAAAAAAAAGAACTGGTTAACCAATTCAATTGAAATTTCCAGGTTGTAGACTTAATCGGTCTTACATTCCTTAACCACTATTCTATACAGCTTAAAAAGCCCCCTCTATAATTTATACTAAGTACAAGATTCGGGTTTCTGGGGCTATTAGCTAACACTCACAAATGCTTCTACACTTAAATTACCACAAACCAAACGTCATATCGCTCAATGCCTGTTGATGCCTGGAGATATCTAAATCCTGGTCCCCTACACCCATCTTTAATTCATTTAAATACTCGTTGCATCCGGAACAAAATGGACAAAATCATAGCCGAATTTTACAATTATGATCTTCTCACATACTAACTACATAAGTAAAGGAAATTGTTATAAGCCACTGAAGTGTTTCTGAAGAAAGCAATTAGCCGAAACGTTAACCAACAGGACAATAGTATATACTTTTTATTGTTTTCCCCTTTTATGGGAATTTGTGATATAATTTACACTTCTCTAGTATAAAAATAGCTTTAGCTTATTTTTCTTCCTCATTAATTCCTCAAAAAGCTCATAAATAATATTAAAATACAGTTCTTATTTGGTACAATATATTCTGCAAATTTTCACAAATTTATATATTCTTTGTATAATAGGCCGATTATTTGTATATATTATGTAAATATTAAGAACGTATCTAGAATAAGGTATTTCATGAAATTTCTAAAACAAAAAATAAATTCTTTTTAACCAGTTTCAAAATTCATTTACATATCGTGTAGATTAAAGATGCGTTCTTTTCAATTTGTTGAGAGTTGAACGCGTTTTCAATAACAAGGTTTCACGACAAGTTTCGTCAAAATCTGTCAATAATTGAACCTTTTAAAGCGATTACGAGCTGAAGATTGAACGCGTTTTCAAGACCAAGGGCGATAACTCATACTAAATATTGATATTAATTTTGATAGTAATCATAATTACTAACACTCATACCAAGTTTCATCTAAATCCGTCAAGAATTGCGCCTTCTAGAGTGTTTACGAGAATGTCAAGAACGAGGGCAGTAACTCATACTAAATATTTTTCTGATTTTCAATAGGGTTTATCTTTGGGTGATTACAAACAATCATACCAAGTTTCGTCGAAATCAATCAAGAATCGTGCCTTCTAGAGTGTTTACGAGCAATTGTGGACAGACGGGCGGATGTGGGCGTATAAAAACAACTCCTAAGATTAAGATTGTTTCCAGTATATTTAGATAGTTATACATTACTTAAATATTTGAGTAATGAATATTAACATTGTTTTATGAAATGGATATTTAGATAGTAATACATGACACAACAGAAGAACGCCCTACAATTATTGTCATTAAGCAACTTGCCCAAGATCTCGATAATATATACTTGCACGCCAGGTTTCATAAGATTTAGATGCAAACTGTTACAGTAGCCTCTTTCGTGTCTTGCAGCCACAGTTGAGACCTTTGCTAAGTCAGGACCACGCCAAAACTACTCATCTAGTACCAAATTAATACTAGACCGGTATCTTATCACCAGCACCAAATAGCGTCACAATATTATGTAAAGTCCCATAAGCCCTCTTTACCCCTTTCGACTATCCATCTCAGGAAAGAAGAAAATTGACGCAAGGATGCCAACGCCCAAACCAACTGAATTACTGTCTGCCCAGTCAAGGGATTTAACTTTAGCCTAGGCGTACATACAATAGGTAAAAATATATTGCAGATTACAACACGGTAGCAGAAGGCCATAACTAATAACGAATGAAGTAGGTAAACAACGAAAAATATGGCTAACAAATAACTTTAAAACATGAATTTCTGCACTATTTATTGAGTAAATTTATGCAGAATAAGCACCGGACGAATTCCAAATATAATTAATTAACCATTCCATTTCATGAAATCTAGCAATCTCCTGAAATGACAAAAAAGACATCGATTAAGCATGACAAAAACTTAAAATGAAACAAATGCGATTTCCTAATTAGTTTGAAAGGGAAAATAAAATATTGCACTGATATTCGGACACTGAGGTGTAAGAGCTGTGCGTCCGATCGATAGCGAACAAGTACCGTGAGGTAAAGTTGAAAAGAAGTTTGAAATAGGAATGTGTTCTGTATGTTTTCTGCACATTGTTTTCGTGAACATACTGATTGACTGGCAGTAATGTTATTTTGTGTACAAATTTTGAAATAGTGCTTGATAATCACCAAAAACATATATATACTTGCAGATTTGAATATACTGTGAGTTGAATAGATAACTTTTACAACATAGTAAATATCGTTAAAACAATAATATAAATTTATTTGCAAGATTTAGTTTAGGTGACACATTTTCCCATATGACTAACATTTATCTATAAATAAGATTGCATACACCCACATTAAATTCTGTTAAAATAACTTGCAATCTAAGCGATAATTTCAATATAACAATTGTCGAGATCGAAAAGACACACAGTAATGTATCAACTTCCTGAAAAGGTCATGCTCCCATGGATATGTCACATAATAACAATAACCTGAACGCTAGATAATCAATTTACAATAGTTAATTGCAGATTATCTGAGAGTAAATCAAATGTTAACCATTCAGCTTGAACATTCTATTTACAATTCTTTATCTGACGTAATTGAAGGCAAGGAAAGCGTGACAACCGTGATAGGTCAAAGACGCCGGATGCAGCGTAGTGAGTGCGATAATGGACTGAGAGTAGATTCGGAAATACAAATTGAGTTCAACTGAATGGCTCTGCTATGCTTATACAAATATTCTGATATTTGCTTTAATTTCCAATAATTTAGTTTCTCTGGATTAATTTTAATCAAAGCAAGTGATCTGCTATATATTGCATTAAGTTTTTCAAGGCATAGCTAGGCTCTCAGAGAATCACTTAAAATATGACGATACTTGTTTTGCAATCGTATATTATGGAAATTTATCAAAATATACCCCAAAAAGTGTAAAAAAAAAAAAGCCGAAAGCTCACAGAGGTGTATCCGGTGAAAAATTGATAGTATACCTGTATCACTGTGTGTGAATATTTCACTTAGTGTATTACTGACCCGCAATGCTTACCTCTATTGTGTTTCCTTTTTATTGTTCTCCTTGTTATTATCTCCCCTTTGTAATTACCCTACGAATGCAGTCCAGGCTATTTTTAGAAATCTTCTTTCTCTCTCCCTTTTGGAGTTTTTGCATGCCTATTTTGAGTAATTTTTGTTCTAGATTTGGAATTTGATGTCTTTATCTTGAAGATTTGGTGAGATGATGAGAGACCTAAAGGCGAAAGACTAAAAATAGTCGTTTTGTGAACTGCCAAACTCTAGTGGATGAGTATAACCGGTAGTAGTCACTTTCAATTTTAGTAGCTCAAAATTTTCATGGTCATCATATATTGAATTTTTTAGGAGACATTGAGAATTGGTCAGGCTTTCATTCGACATATTGGAATGCTTTCAACGAGATTTCTGGAAAAAGTTGTAGAAGGTTGAATTTCGTGTTTTAACATGGGAAGAGATGCCAAATGAATTAGTGGAGTGAGTCTTAGTAAATTTTAATAGTACACATATCTGTAAATAAATAAATTACTAATATTCTAACAAAATGCATGTTTGCACCTTAAATGTAAGTAGACGTTTTACACACAAATTCTCGTACAGTTTCGAACTTAACGTACAGTTTAAACGTTATAAAATTAACGTCTGGATGTTTTTAGTTAAAACTTTCAGATACGTTACAGGACATATTCTCTAGATTTTAGTGTGTAGCTTTTCTTCTACACAAACGTACGACAGAAACGTTTAATTTTAATCTAGGTATCTAGTGTTTTCTTATAATTACGAAGTAGCTTGGAACTTCGTCATGTCATGAATGAAATTTCTGCTTCCGTTCACCAACGGGATCAAGGAACGTTAATTTGGTGCTGGGTGTTCACGTCCGACAAGACTCGGATAAGACAAACTAAGAGGTCAAATCAATAAAAAAAAACATATTGAATGCTTTT